TTCCCAGGACCCCTGCCCGGCCCTCACCGCGGATGTCACGTTCTCCGTCGGCCGCCGAGGCCCCGGAGAGGAGCAGCGATGCCAGCACAGCGAGGAGCGCCCGGCACCGCCTCTGCCCACACAGCTGCGCCATGACCCGCTCCGCCAGGACGCCCACGCGAGGCCTCGAGCCGCCGGCCGTTGGGGTCTCGCGAGCGGGGGCGGGAAGACCCTTGCCGCGCACGCGCACTAGAGGGCCTCGAGTTCAGGTACAGGCGCGGCCGGAGCGTCCGCAAGGTGCCGAAGCCTCTGGAAGCCCCTTTCTCGGACCTAAGGTGTGCGGATACGCTGCCTTCCACGCGCTCAGTGCTTCAGTCCGCTCGTCACTCGCCCCTTTGCCCCCCCGCGACACTCAGTAACTCTTCCCCACCGCTCAGCGCCCCTCGACACTGCCGAACGCTCCTGAGGGCGGCGAAGCCAATGGCGGACGCCGGGCAGCAGCTGCCGAAGGTGGCCGGCGGGGCAGGGGGCGGGCGCACCTGGCGAGGCGGGGCGTGTCGGGCGCAGGCGCAGAAGGCAGGCACCTGAGCAGCCCTCCCCCGCCCTTGGCGCACCTGTGCCCGCCCCTGCCGCTGGGGGAGGAGGCGGGGCTTGCGTGGGCTCCGCCCCGCGTGGGACCTGGCTCGGTGAGGGCCCCTCCCCGGGTGCCGCCAGGGCTTCTGCCACCCTTGCCCGTGGGCTCGTGGGCTCGGGAACGCGCTCTGAGGGCCTCGGCCCCTGGGCTGGGCCTCAGGGTGGGAGGAGGGGGCGGCAAACAACGCGTATCTTGGAAAACCTGTGGCTTTCTGCCTGCTTTGCCTCTGCCGTGCTTTGAGGGTGAAGGATTTATTCCTGCCTAAATTCACCATTCACTGAGCGCCTGCTCGGTGGCACAGTGCTTGGGAGCCAGCGGTGGCCACGCCAGACTGGTCCCTTGTGTCGCTAGACAGAACAGCCCAGAGTAGTGGTGGCGGAATCATAGGGCAGAGTGTGTTGGGGAAAGCCCATGCTGAGTGATCAGGGGCTGAGATGGCCGAAGACGAGGTCCCCAGCCAGCCTGAAAGAGGGCCAAGAAGGTCTTCCTGGAGGACGTGAGAGACCCGTGAAAGAACAATAAGCTCCAGGCCCTGCCTCTGGGGTTCCCAGCACAGATAAGGAGACAAATACTTCACCAGGCAGCCATAGAGTGGCGTCCGTATTGTGACGGACTGTGACACGGAAGCACAGGCGGAGTGATCAGACTTGAGACGAGGGGAGCTCAGAGGAGACAGCTGACCCAGCTTGGGGGGCTGGGTGGGCTTCCTGGAAGAGGGGATTTATGAGCTGACTTTCCAAAGGGGGACGGAGTGGGGCAGGCATAGGAGTGGAGGACAGCCAACAGGATAATTAAAATAAATGCATTATTACTGAAAACACTGTAGTAGCGTTATGAGGGAAATATTAATAAATTGGGGGCTGGGATGGAAAATAAGATCATTTGAACTGGGTGGTGGAGGAAGGGCTCTGTGAGGGGTGCCTTTGATAATGACCTCAAAAAGATGATATGGGCCAAGGGACAGCAATTGCAAAGGTCTTGAGATAACAGGGCATTCTGCGAGCCAGAGCCACTCCCACTATTCAGCCTCCCTCTTGCCATAATAATACACGAAGAGGCATAACTGAGTTATCAAAATGGTATTTACCTTAACCAATTAAAGTTTTATGGCAGTCATCTTTAATCTTGCAGTGAGGACCAAGGACTCAAGGTCAAGGGTCTGAATGTCAGGCAAAAGTTCTTTCCAAGCACTTGAATGCCTCCTGCCACCCAGTGCCACTGAGCGTAGGCTTGAGCTGGAAGACAGACAGGAATGTGCTGAGTGGTTGAGGCTGGGGAGAAGGCACAGGCCTCTCCATTCATTTATTCATTCATTCACACATCCATCCATTCATTGAGCGCTTGCTATGAGCCAGGAACTACTGTAGATGCTGGAGAAGATACAATGGTAAACAAAGCAAAATTTCGGTTCTGTTGGAACTTGCATTATAATGTTGGGAAGAGTGATGGACACAGCATATTTGATACCTGGAGTGGATACTATTTTATACCCCTTCCTCTCTACCAGAAAACTATTTTCAATAATAATCATGTAACAATTATTATTTTCTTTGTTTTTTAGTTTTATTTATTTTTTATTTTTATTTTATTTATTTATTTATTTTTGAGACAGAGTCTCATTCTATTGTCCAGGCTAGAGTGCCGTGGCATCAACCTAGCTCACAGCAACCTCAAACTCCTGGGCTCAAGCAATCCTTCTGCCTCAGCCTCCCGAGTAGCTGGGACTACAGGCATGCACTACCATGCCAGGCTAATTTTTTCTATATATTTTTAGTTGTCCAGCTAATTTCTTTCTATTTTTAGTAAAGACAGGGTCTTGCTCTTGCTCAGGCTGGTCTTGAATTCCTGAGCTTGAGCGATCCTCCTAGGATTACAGGGGTGAGCCACTGCTCCTAGCCAGAACTTATTTTCAAAAGGAATACGTATAATAGCTGAGTTTTCATGTGTCAAGAGTCAACTATATACCTAGGAGTTCTCTATGTTAACTTCTCTATAGAACATTGTGGCAAATAGATGTTAGGGCAGCCCCCATATTCACACCCTATATAATCCCTTTCCTTGCATGTAAGCAGAACCTGGGACTTGATTCTAACCAACACAATATGGCAAAGGAGATGGGATGTCACTCCCATAATAACTTAATCTTATATGATTCCTTTTTACAATCTGAAGAAAGTAAGTCTCTGTCTTATTAGCTTTAAGGAAGTAAGCTATTTGTAAGAGGACTCATGGAAAGGGCCACATGACAAAGAATTGTAGGTGGCCTCTAGGAGCTGAGATCAATGCTGGCTGATAGCCATCAAGAATATGAAAACCTCAAACCTGGCCAGGCACAGTGGCTCACACCTGTAACCCTAGCACTCTGAGAGGCTGAGGTGGGAGGATTGCTTGAGGTCAGGAGTTCGAGACCAGCCTCAGCTAATGCCCATCTCTACTAAAAATAGAAAGAAATTAGCCGGGCAACTAAAAATAGGAAAAAAAAATTAGCTGTGCATGGTGGCACGTGCCTGTAGTCCCAGCTTACTCAGAAGGGTGCGACAGAAGGATCCCTTGAGCCCAGGAGTTTGAGATTGCTGTGAGCTAGGCTGATGCCACAGCACTCTAGCCCGGGCAACAGAGTGAGACAGTCTCAAAAAAAAAAAAAAAAAGAAAAAGAAAAGAAAAAAAAATCTCATCTCTACAACTGCAAGCAGTTGAAAGCAGATCTTTCCCCAGTTGAGCCTCTGGTGAGACTGCAGCCCTGGCCAATGCCCGCGCAGAGGGCCCAGCTAAGCCATGCTTGGACTGCATCAGGAGCTATGAGATAATAAATGTGTGCTGTTTAAAGCCAACTACATTTGTGCTAATTTGTTATGAAGCCATAGAAAACTAATATAAACAATGATGTTTACTAAAGGATAGAGCAATAAAAATATCTAATTGAAGTTTGGATATATATTATTATAACTCAACAGTAATTGCATCAATTATTTAGAAAGTAGACAAACAAAAGATTTTGTTTTTCTGGGAGAGGATTATTTTACCACTAACATGATTTAGAATTATCAGTGGAAAGTGCAATAAAAACTAGACCTAGGGCCGGGTGCGGTGGCTCACGCCTGTAATCCTAGCACTCTGGGAGGCCGAGGCGGGTGGATCGCTCAAGCTCAGGAGTTCCAGACCAGCCTGAGCAAGGGTGAGACCCCGTCTCTACTAAAAATAGAAATAAATTAATTGGCCAACTAAAAATATATAGAAAGCAATTATCCAGGCATGGTGGTGCATGCCTGTAGTCCTAGCTACTTGGGAGGCTGAGTCAGGAGGATCACTTGAGCCCAGGAGTTTGAGGTTGCTGTGAGCTAGGCTGACGCCATGGCATCTAGCCTGGGCAACAGAGTAAGACTCTGTCTCAAAAAAACCCCCCCAAAAAAAACTAGACCAACTTTTGGTCAGTTTTATCTTTATTTTTAAATTCTCTACAGGCAGTGTCCCCTTTTTGCCTACACCCAAGATGAACCACTCCTATCACCCTGCCTTTGGTACACCACTAGTTGGGAAACGGACAATAAATTAAATGAGTAAATTATAACTGCTTGAAAGTGGTAAGTGTTATGAATAAAACAGAACCAGGTAAGGGGTACAAATTGCAGTGTGAAATAGCTTGGCTGGGGAAGACCTCACTGAACAGGTGACATTTGAGGTAGATAAAGGCGTGTATCTTACTGACACCATGCTAGGCAAGATCTTTCCTGGCAGAGGGGACTTCCCGTGCAAGTGTCTGTGATGGGACTGTTCCCAGCAGAGCTTTGACTGCTCAACTAAGGAGTTTGGCCTTTAGGCTCAAGAGCAATGGGGAGGTATAGATAGTTCTTTTTTTTCTTTTTTTTAAATGAAACAGCTTTGTTGAGATATAACTCACATACCATACACTTCAACGGTGTTTGATATATTCCAAGAGTTGTGCAACTATTACCACAATCTATTTTAGAAAAAAAATAATTTTTTTTTAAGACAAGGTCTCACTCTGTTGCCCAGGCTAGAGTGCAGTGGCGTCATCACAGCTCAGCAACCTCAAACTCCTGGGCTCAAGCGATCCTCCTGCCTCAGCCTCCCAAGTAACTAGGACTACAGGCGCGTGCCAACACGCCGGCTAGGCTTTCTATTTTTAGTGTCCACTGAGTCTCGCTCTTGCTTAGGATCGCTTTGAACACCTGGCCTCCAGCGATCCTCCCTCCCCGGCCTCCCAAAGTGTAAGGATTACTGAGGCAAGCTTCACGCCCCGCCTGTTTGTTGAGTAGAATGAGCGAATAAATGAACAAACGTGTAGACGGATGGATGAGTGAGTGAATGAATGAACGAATGAACAAATGATGGCTCAAAGTGCTATGGTTTGACCTTCCCTCGCAGGGAAAACGGCGCGGGGGTTCCTGCACCGCCGCCCGCAGCCGCCAGAGGGCGCAGACAGGCTGGGTCCCCGAGCGTCTGTCCCGGGACCCCGCCCTCCCCGGGATCCAGGGGACCCTCGGACCCTGCCCATACCTGAACCGGCCGTGACCGCCGGCTTCGAGCCAGCGCCGCGGCCTGCTCTCGCTTGCTGCGCAGACGGGGAAACTGAGGCCCGGGGCGGGAGGGGCGGGGCCGGTCCCCCGCGAGCCGAGCGCCCGCCCCCGGCCGGCCCCGCCCCGGCCAGTAAGAGGCTCCCCGGGCGGGCGAAGGCGCACAGCCGCGCCGGGCCGGCCAGCACCGGGATGGCAGCGCAGCGGCTGGGCAAGCGCGTGCTGAGCAAGCTGCAGTCTCCGTCGCGCGCCCGCGGGCCGGGGGGCAGCCCGGGGGGGCTGCAGAAGCGGCACGCGCGCGTCACCGTCAAGTATGACCGGCGGGAGCTGCAGCGGCGGCTGGACGTGGAGAAGTGGATCGACGGGCGCCTGGAAGAGCTGTACCGCGGCAGGGTGAGGCGCGGAGGGTGTGGGGGCTGGGGGCGGGGGCGGGGTGGTCCGGGACAGACCGAGCCTGGGCGTCGTCGGGACCCTAGGCTCCTGGGGTCTTGGTGCACGCTCGCTGGTGCACATGCAGCCTGGTGTGCACGAGAGGACGCACGACCCGGGGCTGGGCAGTCCCTAGCTTGGCCGTCCGCTCTCAATGGCACTCGGCTTGTGGGTAGAGAGATACACACACACACACACACACACACACGCACACACACGCACACACACGTGCGCACGCGCGCACGCATGCACGCACGCAAACTTGAGTCCCCAGAGATGTGTCCAAACACCTGGGAAGGGCCAGAGGTTAGCATATGGGGGTGAGGAGGAAAACTTGGGGAGCCAGAACGGCCATGTCTGCAGAGGGAGCAGGGGGAGGGGACCGTCTTCACTGCAAACACAGATGTAGCGACAGGGGAGACGTGACCACGGGGAGAGCGCAGCAAAGGAAGGAACGGCACGGCCACACGTCTGTGCCCGGTGATGGAAGCTGTCGCCACGCAGACACAGCGACAGAAGCAGCAGCCATACACAGACTCCCAAGGATGCAAGCTGTGGTCACTCGCAGATCAACATATGCAGCAGCCCCGGCCACCCACGGGCGCAACAGCACAGGCCACAGCCATGTGCAGACACACAACGCTACAACTACACACGGACAGGAAATGACTCAAGTTACAGCTGTTCGCAGATACACAGCGGTCCCAGCTGTTGGGACGGACAGACAATACCAGCGGCGATAGCTACCCTTGGATGTAAAATGACTCGAGTTACAACCATCCGTTGTCCCCTAAAGAAAAAGCCACGACCACCTACAAACACAGTGACAGATGCTACAGCCACTCAGAGGCACAAAGCGAGGGAGCATGTAGAAGCCCCCAGACAGGAAGCAGTGTCAGCCACAGGCACACACGGACGTACGATGGCGGAGGCCACAGCTGCCCATGGGCACACAAGAGCACAAACTACAGCTCCCTGTGTTGACATGGTGACGTCATATGAGGCCATCCCCAGATGGCGGGCACTACAGCTCGCCCTGGACTCGTGACGACAGACAGACACACGCAAGCCAGAGCCACACACCGCACACCTGGGGGACTGTAGATGCCACATACCTGTGCACCCTCAGCCAGCCCTGGACCCCTGGCATCGGGCTCTGGCCCACAGGCAGTGATGCACACGTGTGTCACATGCACACAGACGCCTCCAGCCTTTGCCGAACCCTCTTCACCACTGGGGAACCCCCACCACCCAGCCCTGAGGCCGACGACGACAGGACTCTGGGTGGGGGAGGGAGGAATCTGTAGCCTCAGCAGCTGGGGCCTGTCCCCGGCAAGGGTCCTGAGCCAGCCTGCCTTTGGGCCACTGCCCCTAAAGGACATACTACGAGTCCCATCTTGGCCACTCAAAGTTAGACACATGACTCATGTCACACCCACATTGGGGGGCCTGGGTGTGCCTTCCACTCGACTCCCCAGGCTGCACTTTGGCCCTGGGGCTGGCCCAACCCCCCCCTCCTGCCCTGTCCCCTGGGGGAAGGGGCCGCCCCAGCAGGCTCCGGCCTGCCAGGCCCTCCTCCTCCCCCGCACCTAGCGCTCAGACTTTTCCTTGAAAGGGCAGAAGCCAGCCCCTCTCCCGAGTCCCAGATCTGCCGTTCCAAGACCGCGCGGGGCCTGCTTCCTCTGTGGGAACCGGGGCCAAGGGGAAAGGCGCGTGCCAGCCCCGAGGCCCCAGGGCCCATGGGCGCAGCGTCGGCTGGTACAGGCCCAGGCCGCCCTCATTCCATCTGCCACCCCTCCCCCCGCACCCAGATGTTCCCGCCTTGGCGGTGCTGTCCGCGACTGCCACTTTGTTGCTCCAGATCCCGCCAGCTGGGCTCTGGGGCCCGTGGGGCTCCTCTAGAGCCCGGGACAAGGGCAAGGGAGGGCGGGGACCGGGACCCTCACCACCCTCCCTCCTCGCCTTAGGAGGCAGACATGCCTGATGAGGTCAACATCGATGAACTGTTGGAATTAGAGAGTGAAGACGAGAGAAGCCGGAAAATCCAAGTAGGTGGGGGGAAAGCTGCCCCTCGTTCTTTACTTTGCACCCCCCTAAAAGTAATAGCAATAGTTAATGTGTTTATTGAGCACTTACTATATACCAGGCACTTAGTTTGATTGCTTTTCACTTATTAACTCATTTAATCTTCACAAAACCCTACCAAGTGGGCGCTAGTATAATCTCCAATTTCCAGATGAGGAAAATGAGGCCCAGAGAGGTTTAGTCACTTGTCCCAGGGTGTCTCAGCTCAGAAGGAGCAGAGCGGGGAGTCAAACCCAGGCAGTCTGGCTGCCGTGTCCTCGCTGTCATGGCTTAGGCTGCGTGACCCTCTCCTCTCTGAATCTAGTGACCTAACCCTGCCCGCATGGCTTAGGTCTTCCAGCTGTGCTGCTCCTTCCTGGAAGCCAGGTGGGCAGTCCACCCTGGAGTCTGACTTACATTTGTCTTGCTGCCTTGGGGCTTCTGGGGAGAGGGAAGGGGCTGGAGTGGGGGTAGGTATTAGTCACTTACTGGTTTGTTTGTTTTTGCGGGGGGGTTGTTTAGGGACTCCTGAAGTCATGCACAAACCCCACTGAGGTGAGTGTCCCCTGCCCCGTTACAGGCCTGTCCTGTCCCCCTGGACCCTGATGGGGAGAGGGAACTCTGGGGAGCTCTGTCTCTCTCGCAGCTCCTGGTCTCCAGGGGTGTCCTTTGTGTCCCTCCTACGTGTCTCTCCCCTCCCACCCCTTCTGCTGCGGCTCCTCATCTCCTCCCCATCCCTGTCCTATCCCTGCCTCTCTGCTGCGCTCAGTCCTCGCCCCGGGCCGCCGGTCTCTGGGCCAGCCTCCCTCTGTCTCCCCCGTCTACTGCCTCCAGCACCCCAGGGCTCCCTTCCCAGCCCAGCGGGGCCTCGCCGGCCTTCCAGGCCCGGAAGCCGAGCGCCCGACCCTCCCACTTCCTTCCCTGCTTTAAAAGGGAAAAATATTCATGTTTCTCTATCCAGCTCTGGGCAGCCCGAGGGACAAACGTCACCGAGTGTCTGTCCACCTTGGAGCCGGGTCAGGCCTCTATCTCTGGGGACCCCCCTGGTCCCTCTTGGCCTGAGAAATATGTCACTGGTCACTCTGCGTCTCTTTCTCTGTCCCTGTGTCTCCCTCCTGCCGTCTCTAGTGTCTCTCTGTTTTTCTCTCCCTGTGTCTGTGTCTCTGTCCGCCTCCATCTCTCTCTGCTGTACCCTGACCTGCCCCATCTCTCCCGGTCCCCTGCCACCCCGTCTGTCTCTCCCTGCATCTCTTCCCCCATGTTTGTCTGTCTGTCTGTCTGTCCCCCCACCTGCCCCGTCTCTCCCAGTCCCCTGCCACCCTGTCTGTCTCTCCCTGCATCTCTTGCTCCATGTCTGTCTGTCTGTCTGTCACTTTCTCCTCTGTCGTCTCTACCAGAGAGCAGGAGGAGGGCCGAGGGACTGTGGCGGGGTGCCCCTGCCACTCCCGTGTCCTCAGCGTCCCCGCCCTGTCCCCAGGACTTCATCCGGGAGCTGCTGGCGAAGCTACGTGGCCTCCACAAGCAGCCGGGCCCCCGCCAGCCCAGCCCCTCCAGCGACAGCAGCCTGAGCCCCCGCCAGGACCGCGCCCGCACCGGGCACCCCTGACCCCGCCTCCGCACCGCCCGCGGCTTGTTTATAAGTTGTATTTAATGGTCTGTGACAGTGACACCGCGTGGCTGTCCTTCTTCTCCCTGGTCACCCCGGGCTGCCCCCTCTCAACCTCCCTCTCCCCCGCTGCGTCCTCGTGTCCCCACACTGTCCTCTTGTCCCCGCGCCGCAGCTGGGCCTGCCAGATGGAGAGTCACTCCTCCTGGGCCAGAGAGCGTGAGAACCGGCCCTGTGGCCCCGCGTCCCCCAGGACTCACATCCTGTCCTCACCTCCCCCCCGCCTGGCCGGTCCCAGCCAGCAGGGCCCCTGCGTGGGGGTGGCGATCAGGGCTCCTGCGGGAACCACCGCCAGATCCCTGGGCCGGGGGAGATGCACATGACCAAATGCGGCTGGTAATCAGCTCAACACAAGTCATCACACCGCAAACACATCGTCATCCACTCTGTGACATTTACTGGGCAGTCACTGTGTGCTTGGCGTGGCTGCTGGTACCGAGGCTACAGAGATGAGACGCTCACACGCAGTGCGAGAGAAGGGCCGGAGTGCAGAGGATTCGAGCAAGGTGTGCTGGATGGTCCGAGAGACTAGGGAGCCCTAGCTGGGGAGGAAGCTGTTCACTCTTGGGGTGGTGAAGAAATCTGGGAGGGCTTCCTGAAGGAAGTAGCATTAAGGGAGGGCTTTGAAGGATGCATAGGAGTTGCGTGAAATGGGAACCCCTATCTGAGGACCCTGAACTTGTGGGTGGAGGGATTGCTATCGGGGAAGATCCAGGCAAATACCAATATTGGCAGGATGGACAATGTCCCCCAGAGCTGGGTCAGAGCTGAACCCGGGTTAATCTTCTCATGCTGGGGCGTGGAGAGGCCTGGAGAGTCCCAGGGCAGAGGCTGGGCCATCAGAAGTGGGTTGTGGCTATTCACCAAAAACTGCGGAAGTATTTCGACATTTTAGTGACAGGTCTGGTCATACCAGCGGTCCCAGTCGGGTACAGGCAGGACTGGAGTGGGGCTGCGGCTGTGCTCGGGACCGGGCAGGGCCAGGGCTGGTCTCTCTTCTGGGGTATTTCAAGCACATCTCCCGCCTCGTCTGTGCTGACCCGGCTCCCATCCCCACCCTGTGCCAGTCAGCTGCCCCGCCGGGACCAGGCGCCCTCCCAGGGGGCCGGGGCTCCCATCTGGCAGGAAGATGGCTGCTCTTGGAGGAACACCCAGGGGTGCCCTGGCCTGTCCCTCAGGCGACCTTGCGTCCTTGTGCAGACAGACCTCAAAGCCTTCAGTGCCCCTTTCCTCCACACAAACGCACAGAAACGTCAAGAATGAACGAATCGCTCCTCCCGGCATCCCGGTGCCCGGGCCCATGTCCCAGAAAACCCCACTTGGGCCCTGGGGACTCTTAGGACTTCCCCCTCAAAGAACCTGTTTTTGGTTCCTCATCTTTGTGGGGGCGGCGTGTGCTCAAGACCCAGGATCTAAATTCCTGGGCGTGCCATGTGTTAAGCCTCTCGGTGTCTTCATCGGGGAAATAGGGACTTCACAGATGAGGAAACTGAGACCCAGATTAGTGATGTCACTTGCCCAAAGTCACACAGCTGGGAAATGGCGGTGCTGGGCTTCAATGCTGGACATTGTGACTCCAGAGCCCAAATATTAACATTTACCTCCTATCCCACCTAAACCATAGCAGTGATTGTTATTCTTCAGTGATGGGAAGAGATCGACTAATTCATACTAAAGTGTTAGTGTCTGCTCACGGTCATCTGAGATATCCAGTCTAAAGGGCGATACGATTATTAATAACTGAGAACAAGGCTACACCAACAGGATTGGGAAACAGCATATCATGGTGGTTAAGAGCATGGACTCTGAGGTTACTGCCTGGATTCAAATGCCATGTGTGCGGTCTCGAACAAGTCACTTAACCTGTGTCTCAGTGCCCACATCTGTGCGGTGAAGATGGTTGTAACAGGACCTACTTCCTAGGGTTATTGTGAAGTTGAAGTGCAGAGCATAGACTAGCCGGGCACACACATACTAAGCATTGTTATCAACCTTAGCATCGTGGGGAGGGGGTTGGCGTTGGCTACAGCAGCCACCATCCCTGGCCGGCAAGATGTCCCTGGGAGCGCTGAATCACAGGCCCTCTGATACACAAAAGTCCCAAAGGGCACAGCGTATCTGTCCCGACACCCCCAGTCGTGGCTGGCGCCTGCCTCCCACGGTCTGTGGTCTGTCCCCACCTCGGCAGCCGGATGACGCCCTCTCTCCCACCCTCGTCTCCATCCACCCTGTTCCCTCTTCCTCTTTCCCCCAAAGTTCTTTTTTTTCTTTTTTTTTAAATTTCTTAGTATTCCAGTATTTCTGCAAATTCAAACAGCTGTGCATCTCTGTCCTGTTACTTTCGTCCCCACAAGCCAGACCTGCCCAACGCCACCCTCGCCTTGCTCCTGTCACGCAAGGCCCCGTGCTGGAGGTCCTCCATGCCATCGCCCCCCAGTCTTCCCTCGGCAAGTCCCCCAGCCCGCGCCACGCCCTGCCCCGCAACTTTTCTGCCTGCTTCTCCCTCCTGTCCCTCGCCCACGCCGGCTCCTTCCCCATCCTCAGTCCCACCGCCTCCTCCCCTCGGGGACCACGTGTCGTCTGCCTGAAGCTGCCCTCCCCACGCTGCCCCCAGCCTCTGACATTAGGATGCAATCTCAGAGGAGTGTCCTTGAGCACCTCGTCTAAGGAGTGCCCTCAGTCACCATCCTGTCACCTGATCTATTTTCTCCATTGAATTTATTGCACCCTGAAGTGATCTATATCTGTCTCCACCACCGCCCCCCTGACACCCCGACCTTCAGAGTATGAGCTCCTCCGGGCCTGCCTTGGGTATCCCCATGTTCCCAATCTCTAGAACAGCGCCCCCAGGCGGCCACACCCTCTCCACGCACTGGAGCCCTCCTCGTGCGGACGTGAGGCCTCGGCGCGCCCCCTTGTGGCCGCCGCGTGAGTCGCTTTGGAACGCCACCTGAGCCGCCGGGGACGGGAGCCAGTCCTCAGGTGGCGCTGGCATGTGATCAACAGCAGGCCCCGCAGGTAGATACCGCAGAGCGCTCACCCACCTTTATCCCCCATCCGCACCAGAGGCTCGCTGACTACTTGATAAATATTAGAATTGGGCTTGCACTAATGATTGGTCCTCAGAAGTGGCTAAAATGTTTTTAAAGTACTTCTCACCCTCGTAATCAAGAGGACAGGAAAGCTCTTAGTGAAGAGTTTATCATGGTTGGTATAAAATCAGCCTACAAAAATCAATATCACTTTACTAACTCTGTAATAGCCAATTAAAACGTAATTTCTAAAAATTGTGCCGATCTCAAGAGCAACAAAAACAATAAAGTATCCAACAATTGACTTAAGGATGCATAAGCTCTTGATGGAAAAATCATTAAAACATCAATAAAGGATATAGATGATAATCTGAAAAATGATATCATCTGTGCCCTCGGGTAGGATATTGTAATATTATTCACGCGTCAATTCTCTCCAAATCAACCAATTCAAAGCAATCTTAATCAAAATTCCAGATAAGTTTTTTTCAGACACTTGATAAAACCTATTCTAAAATTTGTACAGAGGAATAAAAGTGTTCAAATAGCTAAGTTAACAGTAAAAAGGAAAACGGGGACCAGGCACAGTTGCTCGCCCCTATAATCCTAGTACTTTGGAAGGAAGGTTAAGGCAGGAGGATCGCTTGATGCCAGGAGTTCGAGACCAGCCTGGGCAACATAGTGAGACCCTGTTTCTATGAAAAAAAAAAATTGGTGGGGCATGGTGGTGTACTAGGGAGGCTGAGGCAGGAGGATCACTTGAGCCCAGGAGTTTGGAGTAGGACGGGCTCCTAATCCAGTATGACTGGTGTCCTTATAAGAAAGTGGCCGGGTGAAGACACAGCCATGCAGAGAATGCCATGTGGAGATGGAGGCAGAGACTGGAGTCACACTGCCACAAAGCCAAAGGACACCTGATACTGCCAGAAGCTGAGATAAGGACCATCCAGGCACCTTGGTTTCAGACTTCCAGCCATTTCCTGTTGTTTTAAGCCACTCTGTTGTACTTTGTTACTGTCACCCTAGGAAACTAACACACAGATCACTACCCAGAATTCAAGATTTGTTTACTTCTTAAAGGCAAAATTTATACACAAAGGAATGCAAAATTCGAAGTGTGCCATTTGATGGGTTCTGACAAATGCCTATACCTGTGTAATCCCAACCTCATCAAGAAATAGAATGTCATCCCAGAAAACTCCCTCATGCCCTTTTTAGCTGTAGTGCTTTAAAGCAAACCATAGCTATCATGTAATTTCAACCATGAATATTTCAGTATCTTTCTCTAACAAACAATGGCTTTACAAAAATTGTGACCATATTGCCACGATCATGCTAAAAAAATTAACATTTCCTTAATTTCTTATAATGCACAGTCTGTGTTCAAATGTCCCTGATTATCTCAGAAATGTATTTTTAAGTTGGCTTGTTCAAATCAGGATCCATATAAGATCCACACATTGCATTTTATTTATTTTAGAGACAAGGCCTTGCTCTGCCGCCCAGGCTGAAGTGCAGTGGTGCGATCATAGCTCACTGTGGCCTTCAACTCCGGGACTCAAGCCATCCTCCTCCCTCAGCCTCCCGAGTAGCTGGGACTACAGGTGCGCACCACCATGCCCGGCTAGCTTTTTAATTTTTATTTTTATAGAGACAAGGTCTCTCTATGTTGTCCAGGCTTATCTCAAACTCCTGGCCTCAAAGGGGTCTTTTGCCTTGGCCTCCCAAAGGATTGGGATTATAGGTGCGAGGCACACCTGGCTTTACATCTTGAATCTATGGGGATTCTGAACCTGGCATCCAAGGACCTCCAAAGGATCCAGAGATAGAGTTCTTGGGGTTCATGACTTTGGATGGAAAAAATTACATCTTTATTTTCAGTAACTTCTAACTGAAATCTCACATTTCTTTCAATCACGCCCTGGGCCACATGCTCCCTCCCTCGCCCACAGCCACTGTCCCAGTGCGT